CAATCGGAAAGGATTCGACAGGTTTTTATTTTCGTAATTTTATTGCGAGAATGTCCACAGTTTTAGTATAAATCACCCGTTCATGCATGACTGCTTGGTGAAGGTTTTCATATTTTCATGAATTGTAAACTCCTGCCTAGCTGTTCCTATCTCGGTAGACGGTGAATGTTTGGGTTAGCCCATTCGGGGTTATTTCACAGGCACCAAGAACTGTTGATGATCTGGGGTGATCGGTAATTTCGCACCGGGGTAAAATGCATTTGTATGCCATGAAAATGTTTCTGACTACTGGCAATCCGTTCCTCTCGGACCATTGAAAGTTTCATACGGTTGTAGTTGGCCGCTTCCAAGAGAAAAACAATTTGATGGATTGTTGACCGCCTCATCTATTGGTCAAGTTTATCTGATAAGATAAGTAACACGTTCCTTGCTACCGTTTAATTGATGTAGCCCCCAAGTTGTATTAGAGGGGGGAATGAATCAGTGAACAGACCAAAAATGTTTTGCCGTCAGGGCAAAACTTCATCTGACCTCTGTTTTGTGCTTTTCCTTCATTTTTATTATAATCAAAGGGGAAATCCCCATTGGCAAAAAGTAAAATGGAGGAGATGGAAACATTCAGATTCAGTTTATTGATTTTGCGTTTGGCGAGTGTAAGGTTGTAAGTTGGGGGAGGGTGTTCCGCAGTTCGGGGAGGGGGGGAGATTGGAGCAGAGAAATCCGACGTCTAGGAACTGAAACTGATAAGGATGACCAAAGTAGCAACGGTAGACAAGGGTTAATGAAGCAATTGCCCGATGATGGGCTAGTGACTGCAGACTGAATGTCAGGGAAGGATCATTGATTAGCCGGATGACCTTTCGTTGAACACGATCAAGAAGGGAGGCAGAAGAAGACGAAACCCTGACCCACACGTGACTGCGGTATTCAAGAGTAGGGCAGATTTGAGCTTTGTACAGTAGAAGATGGTAAGCTGGGGTGAAAAAACGTCTGGCGCGAAATAAGAAACCAGCCTTGCGCGCAGCAAGAGAAGAAAGTTGAGCTGTAAAAGGAAACCAGCATAAAGTAGAAGTAATGGGCAGTCCAAGAATGAAAACACAGTCTGCAAAACGCAGTATTTTGCAATCAAAAGATAAATGGGGAGAATGGATGGTGTTTTAAAAAAAAAGGAAAGAAGGGAGATTTTAAAATAATTTAATAAAACGTGGTTTGCGATGCCCCAGGATAAGATGTGTTCAAGATCGGAGTCCAGTGACACATTAACTGTACTATGATCACTGTCGACGTTAGTTTTGGCACGGCGAACAGTGCGGTAGGAGAGGGAGCAGTGGATGGTGGCGTCATCGACGAAAGAATAGATCCTTGGGTCCAGTTTCGGTCGAAAACCTTTGAAATGTCAAGCGCGACCAAGTGTGTTTCTCCATAGTTATCGAGTGAGGCTGACCAGGATAGTGAGACAAGAGCCAGCAGGTTACTGGTGGAGCGATGCTCTCCAAAGCGATATTAGCGGTCACTCAGTAGTCCTTTGCGTTCGAGGAACTTGCGTAGTTGATCTGAGATGGTAGTTTCAAATACTTTCGAAAGAACAGATGTGAAAGAAATGGGTTGGCAATTGTTGGGGTCAAAAAGGTTGCGGAGTTTGGGAATGGGAACAATTACGACGTGTTTCCAAGGGGTTGGAAAGGAAGAAAGTTAGAGGGAAAGATTGAAAAAACGACGTAAAATAGGAGCCAACTGGGGAGCACAGATTTTGAGGATGATAGGTGGAATACCGTCCGGACCGGGTGGTTTGTTTGCGTTTAGAGAGCGTAATGTTTGATGGATTTTCCTAGTGCTGAGAAGAAAAAGAAAAGGGTTGCCAGTGAAGAATAAAGAAGTTGGAAGTGGAGGATAGTTGAGTAAGATGGAATTGGAAAGCAAAAACCTCGGTTTTCTAGTGTGATTGACATACAAGATCACCAGAGGAATTGCGGATGGTGGGGAAGTTAGAAGGGCAGAAATTACGGGAAACTGCTTTGGCAAGGGACCAAAACATTCTTCTCCCGTTGGTGGACGATACCTAGTTTTCGACTTTACAGCGAACGAAGCATTCTTTAGTTCTCTGAATGGTTACTGAGCATCTGTTCCGTGACTGCACGGAGCGATGGTGAGAGTCGGGAGTGGGCGAGTGGTGCCAGCGACGCCAGCGGCGGAAAGCTGAGCATTTTAGGTGTACAATACGGTCACATGCATGGTTAAGCATTTCGGAATATTTGGGTTTGCCTAGTATGGAAACGTGTTGGCTCAGGTTGCTGACCAAAACGAAATGTTCGGCTTCGCACCCCAAAGAAGAAGTAGCGAATGAATGTGTCAACCAATCTTGATTATTAAAATTAAGATCTCCCAAGACGGTAACAGGGCAGTTAGGGTCGG